AAATCTTTTGGGACATATCCAATCTTTTAATTTGTTAATTATGAACACTTAACAGTATAAACCTAACCCACTGCTCCATAAGACATTTCACCGAGTTTACTTGCCACTGGAGAAGTGGAACTACTGACTTGCAGCTGGATTATGAAAGCTTCTATTTTTTATTTTATTTTTAGATACTTTCTTGTGCAAAGTCTCACTTTTGAACTCTAAAAGCTTATCGTGTCCTTTCCTCCTGATTGAAGGTTATTGACAACAATAGTAGCTGATTTTCCTCTGACAACAGTAGACTTCATGCCTGATGGTACCACTTTGGCTATAGGATGTTCCCGGGGAAAAATCTGCCAGTATGACTTAAGGCAACTGACCTCCCCAGTGAAAATAGTTGCTGCTCACAAAGGCTGTGTGAAATGCATACGTCTTCAGTTCAGTAGCACTTTTTCCAAGGTAACAAAACTTTATTTTTGATTGCTCAAGATGCAAAGCCTAAGTTCTAAAAATATGTTAGCATTCAATTTCTAAGAATTACAGATGCCAGTAGCAGTGATTCACGCCAACACAGAAGTTACAACCTCTCAGTCTTAAGTGCCATTCTGGAGGATTTTAATGTGGAATTCCCCTCCCTCCTAGTCTTGATGTAGAAACAAGTGAAACTTCAGTCTTAGGTTTCCTGGTGTGAATATGCTGCCATTGCAGATCAGTATGTGGTATCTTAGCTTCCTTTGTAGGCAGTGGGAGAAAGGTCTGTAATGGCCCTTTGGCTGAAGGGGGAGACACACAGCTGCCTGTCGTGAGAGATTTTGCATGGTCTTATGTATAGTGTTTTGCAGGTACATGTAAATGGTGGAGAAGTTGGTTAGATAATAGAGAAGGTTTAAGAGGTTCTTCCCTGACTTAGGCTCTATTGATTTGAGAAACCCCACGTGTCCATTCAGTGGAGATGGAGAAAACCTTTGAAGTGGATTCTTTACCACTCTGAAACTTCCCTCCTCTTCTAGCATACTCACTCCTAGTGGTTGACTATTCCTTTACAATTTGGAGTCCCTAATAATAGATCTTAACTTCTCTATGCATAAGCCTATGATCGAATTTGGCTTGTGCCAGGTCACTCCATTGTTACCTCAAGCTTTTGCAGGTCTACACAGTATTGATATACTTTTATATATATGATAAGATATGGAGGTTTCCCATGTTCTTTGAAGTTACATTAAGATACTTTTTCTTTTATATTTTTAAAGGCGTTATCTCATAGGCAACCTTTGCAACTTGAACTGAATTTTTTTTCTTATATTATGAAACAGTATTGTCTTACATTTTTATTTTAAGCTGAAGGAATAATAACTTCTCTTAATTTGTTCAATTTTTTCTTCAGTCCAACATTACAGGTTCTTCAAATAAACCTGTGTCCAAAAGAGTGGAAGTTGTAGCTGGTAGTAGTCTTGGAGGAATTCAAAATACTGGCATCAAAAGTGTTGCCTCTCAAGCATCAGCAACATTGCCAAATGAGAATAAGGGAGGAGATGTTCTTCAGGAGAAAACAGGTAGCGCCTTCCTTCTATTCTTATAATTGTATTTGTCATAATGTAGAAAATGGAAGGAATATTTCATGCTTTGACCATTACAGTATAAAAATTCCACTGAGGGAAGGGCGTTTGTTTGGAAGAACTGTGTGTAAGTGCATGCACTTCTGCACCTTCTTTTCCCTCCCCTACTGCATTAGATGTGCTATGAGACTGTGGGAAGCTAATTGGGTCCTACTGCAAGCTTTAGATGCTCAAAGTCTAAAATTCTGGACTTGAAGTAAAAGTATGTATTTAAACTTTGAAGGAGAAAACTATGGTGATATTATGGGACTGTTGCTTGCATTCTGACTTCCTATAGATTATTCCTAGGTATGTAATGTATTTTCTGACACAGTATCTGTATGGAATACAAAGCTAATGGTCTTTAATTCTATTAATAGAAAGGAGTAATAGACCTCATTTGAAAAAAACCCAACCCACCAAAACAAGCAAAAAAAACACCCTAGTACAAAACCCCAAGTAAGAACTGAATTGTATTTTTGTGTGAGGCATGATTCCAGTATCACGTGGTAGGAAAGATGTTAAATATAGTTGCCAAGTATGATTAGTTGTATAACTGTACTTGCTATTTATGCTTCTGAAATTAGCAAGTTCTTTATACAAATTCTAAACATTATTCAAAAAATGCTGCCACTACGTGAAATGTACTCTTAAAATTTTATTAAATAAACAGTTCTGAAAATACAGTCAAATCAGTAACATTGTTAGTTTGATTCTTGAAAAAAAAAAAAAAAAAATTAAAAATTCCTCAGGCCATTTTGATGCAAGGGCATTTTTCCCCTCCCTTTTTTAAATAAGGAGGAATACATTTAGCAACAGTACTTTGGCAATAAGCCAGTGCAGTTCATAGAGATGTGTATTAATGATCTCCCTTGGGTGTGCAGTGAAGTACGAGGTGAGTAGAATGCTTCCTAGGTATGCAAGAGGTGTTGCTAATCAACATTACTGAATGGTGTGGGAAATTTTTCTTCAGTTAAAATATATGATTTACTATCTTTATTTGAAGGTGTGAGGAGTAACAGCCATTAAACAGGACCATGCATAATAAGTAAATGTTTTAAGGAAGCAAAGACTTACCAAGTAAACCAAATATTTTTTCATTAAACTGAGTGTTCACTTTACAGGTAAAGACCTCTGTATACTTCAGAAGATGCAGTCTTTAAACTTAAAAATGGGAATGGATGAGAGACCACAAACTGCATTTATTCTGTGGAAACTCTTCTAGACCCTGATTATGGGGTTTACCTTTGGAGAAATAAGGGGCATTCAGTAAAGTGATATGGTAGCATATTTAAAACAAACAAAAAAAAATCTGTTCATACAAGCTTATAAATGGCCTGGGGCTTTTTGTCACAGGTATTTTAAAGTACAAAAGTACAAATGTAGTCGGAATGCGATGAGGGGTTTGTAAGTACTTTGAGCTGGCTTCCCATAAACTTCTGTTTAAAGCCATCCTCTGGTTTAGATACTTATTACATTTAGATTACGGGGTACGGGTAAAAATGCACAAAAGACTTTTTGCCCCATTTTGTGTTATGCTTTTTCCGTGTAGGTCCCCTATAGATTCTGGCACAGATTGATATGTGCTTCTAGTTTGACTCGGTATGCCAAGAACTAACTTCAACAGCAAGTGCAATGCTATGTAGTTGTCACAACTCACATGTCTGAAGGGAGTGCAAAATGTCATCTATTAGTATATTTAAAAGTAAAGTTTTAAGCAGGACTCCAGTTCCGGTTTATGTAAATTCTTGGACAGGTTAATTGTAGTCATATTTGGATCACTTGAACAAATAATGCCACATAGAGAAGTGGTTACAGGCCTTATCAACAACAGTTTGTTTCTTGTTTGTTTGTCTAATTAAAATAAGTGCAAAACAAAGCTTTGGTATGTACTGGAGATTTATTTCATGTATTGCACAGCACTAATGCTCTTTGACTAGATCTTAACTTATAAAAGCACTTTCAGAGTTAGGAGTTGAGTGAGGGCAGAATAGTGGCTTGCTTACAGTGCTGGTCCAGTTTTGAAACACACCAAATGGTGAAAATTATTTAGGTGGTTATCTTAGCAGTTCAGTTCTCTGTGTACTCCTCATCTGAAAACTGTGGTTTGAACAATTACTGGGGTTTTTTTGGACTGATTGCCTAAAATTAGAAATGAGCAGAGACTATCTTAACATCAGGTAAACTTTAAAATAGGTGTGCCATAAAATTTCCCTTTGAGTGTTTAATGGCCCGGGTGAAGCAGATTTCTTGCTGAGTAAATGTATATTTTGATATCTGAATGTGGTTACCTTCCTAGCGGGAGGTGCTTTCACCAGTTTTCTTTTCATCTGATACACTGTAAGTGATCAATTTATGCGATGGCTCCAGCCATCGCATAAATTGATCTGAAATTGAGTGCATTCTCCAGTTTGACAACTCTCCTTTTTAAAAAGAAGGAAAGGAGTCGTGACTGTATCTCAATTTTTTGTTAGTAAGTATCTTAGCTTTTCTAGTTATGTTCACCTGCATTGACAGCCCAAATGAAGTTAAAGTTGACCCTCTAACTGGACTCCGTTGAAGGTTCTAAAGTGCTTGCCTGGACTTGTGAGGCATCGTGCTTGCTGTGAGATTGCTTAACGAGAACATATGTTATTTTTGGAGAACCTCAATTCCTAACTGATGATTATTGTCCTTCTAAGTCTTTCCCCATAGCTGCAGCTTGGACGTGATTCCATCTAAAGAAACGGATCACGGGAAGAGTGCTGATTTAAATAATTTAGGGTTGGGCCGAAGTAGTTTAGGAGACGTGTTTTCTCCAGTCAGAGAAGGTAAGTTGCTAACACCAAAATTCATAAAGCATCATTCATCTGCATGTAGCATGATGTTCTGACATTTATGTGTTAGCAACCACTATACCTGCTTGGTGGTTTAATTTGTCTGTGATTATGAACTTGATGCAATGATACGAGTATTGATATAGGTATCATTTAGTAACCAATTTGTCTGTCTTTTGATATTTTGTAGATGCTATTGCAAGTAAGGTGAATGAAGAACCTCAGAGAAAGGGAGATGGTAAACATACTTTCAGTGTATTTTGCTTTGTGGGTGGTAGGCCTGTGCTTGTTCATCCCTGTGAATTTTGTGGTAGCACTGAAAATAAACAAACTGAAAGCAGACACTTAAACAAATGAAGTTTTCTGGAAATTGTGTAACACACTGAGGTGCTAAGACACAAAATGGTAACAAGAAATCAAGAGTATGGTCCCAGAGTGCTTTGGGTTTTACTTTGTGCAATTTATAATTACATATAGAGGCTTTTCATACCTTACTGCTTTCACAAGTGATAGTGTAAGTTGTGTTTAATTTTTTGTAGGGTGTGTTTGGGGGTGATTGTTGGTTTTGTGTGGGTGTGCAGGCATTTTAGTTGTGGATTTGATTTGATATGTGTGTTTAGTTTTTTTGACCTGTGTTTCACCTTTCCATTTTCATTTTAGGTCTGGATTTTCAGCCCTACCTTTTGGGTTTGGAATTTCTCCCACAGCTCACCACTGCCCTTCCAGTAAAAAAAATCCCAGTGGGCAGTAGTGCACAAGGGATACGGTCTAGCCCATTACATGCACTGGTAGGATCTCCAGTTAAAGAACAGGAAGAACATCTGGAGACTGACACTAAGAAAATAAGTCTTGGAAAGCAAGAATCTAAAGAAGTCCTAAAGCAGGTATACGATACCAACTCTTGTTATGAGTGGTCTCTTGAGAATCTTGACAGCATACTACTACTTGAAGGAAAAATCCTTAATAGCATCTCAGCTAAACTTATATTACAACTCTGGTCACACTAGTGACACATCTGTAAAAAAGTTGTTCAGCTTAAGTGTGCTGGCCTTCAGCAAGCCAAGATAAATCTATGTTTCTTTTAAATAAGCTCAGGCTAGAAAGGTTCACATGAAACAAAACTGGGCTAGCCTGAATATTTTCAGTTTTCTAGTGAATTGGGAATGAGTATTAGTTAGTTGCACCAGTATGATTTTGTCATTTACTAGGTCAATTCCACCTTCTTATTCCTCTGTTCTCAAACTCCCTCTTCTTCCTTCCTGAGATATCTTTGATATGCTTCTGCTGAGACAATAGCTCCTTTTGTGTTGCTTTTGAAAAGTCTAAGTTTGCTAGGGATGGTGTTTGTAACTTCACCACAGGATGTTTGATGTGAAACTTAAGAGGTGGCTGCCTTTTGCAGTCCTTTTTGTGTGTGTGGACTTCAGGCAATTTTGAATTTAGCCATCAATTTTTAAGATGTCTCGCTAGAAAATGAAAAACGTATATTTGTGAGTAGATTCTTAAAAAGAAAAATGTTTAAAAGTACATTTCTTAAAACTTAGTCTTCAAATACAATAAGATAATTGTAATAAGTAAGTAACTGGAATTCATTTTGTTTGGTTGGGTTTTTTTTGGTCAGCTTTCGAAATCAAGTTCATCAAGTGCAGAATCTGTAACTTTAAGTCCTCCAGCATCATCCACTGCTGTAAAGGCTCCTGATACAAATGAGAAACTACTGAAGAATATTCAGGCACATCCTGCCTATGATCTACCAGTAAATGGTACTACCTCAAGTAAGTTGATCATTGTGGCCCAGTTCTAGGTGTAGTTGATTGTGAACTGGTGTGAAGTCTGGTAAAATGGCCTTAGCATTAAAACAGAACACGCAATCTTGATTCTTCTGTAAATCCAGTTAGGCCTCATAGAATATCTATGATGGCCTCTGGGAAAATTTTTTTTTTTTTTTTTTTTTATTAACTGGGTTATATTTGAGATAAAATATTGACACAATTCAAGACAAATTTATTTATTTATTTTATTTTTCATTTTAAAGGTCCAAAGATAACATCACCTGTCACTGCTGGAGTTGCCTGTTCGTTGTCAGAAAAAATAGCAGAAACCATTGGGAGTAGCAGACCAAATGCACCTCTGACATCAATCCAAATAAACTTCATTCAGAATATGATACAAGAAACAATGGATGACTTCAGGTACTGGTATTCGTGCAGAACATTGTTTTCAATGATGCGTTTTCCTGGTAAAATGCTTCAGCATCTGCTGTAACAAATTTCTACTTGCATTAGAAAATGACACCATTAATAGCTCT